AGGCCGTGGGTTTTCAGTCCTGGCCCAGCGCTACATAAGCTGGGCCGTTGCCCAGTTCGTGGACAGAAGGTACCAGGAGAAATCCAGCGTTATGCTGGTTCAGGAACTTGGCTGCTGCGCTATTTTGGAGACTCCCTGCTGCGCTACTTCGAGACTGCAGCTGCACTGCTCATCGGCAATGAGGCACAGCGCTGGAGGAGTCCAGCGCCGAGGAGAGTAGTGGAGTTAGTGAGAGAGAGAGAGAGAGAGAAGAGGACTTACCTGCCCAGCGCCATAGCTGGCTCCGCGGTACCTGCAAGTTCAGCCATCGCCAGGTAAGTGCAGAAAGCGCCTAGCTTTCTTCTTCTTCTTCTCCTCCTTCTTCTTCTCCTCTCCTCTTCTCCTCCTACTCCTCCGAAGTTCTTCTTCTTCTTCTTCTTCTTCTTCTTCTTCTTCTTTGTCTGAGTAGATATAGAGGTAACTGCAGACATTGGTTGGACACGGCCTTCTGCCTTATTGGACGCGACATTCAGATCAGACTTACACTCTACATTGGGATTGAACTGTGTGCGACATTCGGAGATCAGACTTGGGTTGGACTTGGGTACCTCTATGTCCCTCCCCCCCCCCTTCTCTCTTGCATGTCTATGGATCTCTCCCCATGTGTGTGAGCGGAAGGGCAATCTTCCTGATGTCTTGCCCTTCCGAAGTTTATCCCTTTTCATGTTGTTGATTGTCCACGTGTCCTCTTGCTACTAAATCTTTCGCTGCGCTGCTTCCCAGCTCATGATGATGATGATGATACGAATGTGTTGTTGTTGTTGATTTCTCGTTGGTTCACTCTTGCATCGTGCACATTGGCACCTTGTGAATGTTGCATCTATGCTGCTGGTTGTTGCCACTTTCGTCATTGCTAGATCCTAGGCCCTCAGTGCATTTCACTTTCTGATATGCTACACCAGCACCGGACGAAGGAGGGCTAGAGCCATTCCTCAAAGGAACGACTGATCAAGTGCAGAGCATGCATGTTATACCTCCAGGCCTGGCCATGCCATGCGCCCAGCCACCCTCAAATCTGATTTCTCACAAGGGAAAGAGCAAACACAAGTCCATTTTCCTTATCTTGGGTTGTGTACAAGTCAATGTGTCGGGCGCCCCCATCGGAATCGCAAGGGTCAATTTAACCCCATGCCCGTCACCTCCACCATTTTTGTAGGGCCAAACCCCGGTAGACTTTCGACCCTTGGTCAACCCCACTGCGGGTCCCAGTTGGCTCGGCCCGCCCACGCTCATGCTCAGGGCGCAGGCTGTTCGTCCCGAGGTCACCCCCACCTAGTGCTTTGAGATGGATGGGGGTGGGCCATCGCGCAAGAGAGCTTTGACATTGGGGATGTAGCTCAGCCCTCACGCCGGGTTCAGCCAGCATCCTTAGGCTGTTCGTCTCGCTGGTCGTTCTGCAACGCTGATTTTTTTTTGATTCTTTATTGTGTTCTCAAGCAATTGCTCCTTCCAATACGCAGGCAGTCCAGGGGTTCTTTGAGCGTTTCTCTTCTCTTGTGCGTAGGCTAAGCGTCATCCTTAGGCCACACACCATTTCCCTAAGCATTTTGGCTATATGGCGTTGTCGGGGCAAATACCCTGACAAGGGTATTTGCCGGGGTTTTCAACGTCGGACGTTGTTCGACTTTTTCGTGGAATTGAAGGACTTGACGAGACTGACGTTGCCAAAGTTGTTTAGACACACCTATGACCGGTAGGCTTAAACTTTTTTTTTTTTTTTTAAGCTAGACGTCGCTGCCGTCCGACTGAAATAGTGGTAATCAGTGTTGTGATCACTAATCACGGCATCTGACGGAGCTATGGAATAGTTTGGCCGAGGGACTATTAGGATTATACCTACCCTACCTAAGAAGGTGGCGCGTGGAGGTAGGCCGCACGATTCAGGGCCTAAGTGCGTTCAAAGTGGCGACCTTACCGGAGGCCGCAACGAGAGGTGAGTAGGAAGTTGTTTTTTTTTTTTTTTTTTTTTTTTTTTTTTTTTAGGACCATGGGCGTCCGCACCAAGGGCTGAAATGGATGGCACGGTAGCCGCAGGGTGCGGCAAGTGTAGGGCTGGCCAACCAGCCACCCAGCTTGCAACCACTCAGCGTGCCGCCAGCCGGCCAGCAACCAGCCTGCAGCCAGTCGGCCAGCAATCAGCCAGCCACCCAGCCTGCAACCACCAAGCGGGAACGGCCGCCTGGCTGCAGCTTGACCCTTGCGCAAGGATGACACGCATAAATCGAGAAATGGTCCAAAATCCAGGTAGGGATTTGAACCCGGGTCTGTACCTCGATGTGCCATAGCAGGCCACGATGGGACGTGACCGTTGGCAAAACCGGAGTAATAATAATAATAATAATAATAATAAATAAAAAAAAAGGGAAAACAGTCTTTGCAGACTGTGTGGGAGCACAAAGGCTCCCACTTCGTCTTGGAGA